TTTGCATAGAGTAGTAAATTCTGTACCAAATGCATTTTTATGTGTATCCATGTTATGTCGCATTTTAGTTCTAGTGTCACACTGGTAATTAACTGGTGCAAAGTTGAATTTATTCTCGTCATCTTCAATTATGTCCAGTAAGTCTGCTGTTCGGGCATTGAAGTCGCCTTGTAGAATAATGTCCCGTTTTTCTTTGTACATGGTGATTTCTTGTTGAAGATCTTCACTGATCCTATTGTAGTACGAGGAATTTGCAGGAGGAATGTAAACTGTGCATAAAAAGATGTCTTTTTTTAACTTGAAATAGTCTTTTTTAATCTACACCACAGAGTGTAAACACTAGACGGTTCTTGTATTGTAACACCAGGTTTAAGTGTTTTCCTAATGTATAAACTAATTCCACCACAACTTCTCCATGCCTTTTCAGATTTGTTCCTAGATTTATGGAACACAAAGTGATCTTCAGATGTTGGCAGTAAGTCAGTAGAGTTAGCATCCAACCAGGTTTCAGTGAAAGCATAGATATGGTAGTTCTTAATGGTTTGTTGAATGTTTAACAACCTTTGGTTTTTTGATCATGACTGCAAGTATTTGGTATATAGTTGTAACGTAGTCCATCTGAGTTAAGATGACCAATGTTAAGCAATTGGTAAGGTACATTATGTTTTTTAACTTTCATAATATTAGTTCAGACTTGTTTTAAGTGTGTTCAATTGCGATTCAAGTTTTATTACTCTTGAAAGTAGATGTGATCGCTGTAAGTGGTTGTTGTTGAGTTTATTAGCATATCTGTATTTTCCTCCCTGGTAGTCAACTCTCTTCTTGATTGGTGAAGCTGCTGCTGCAGAATAGCTGGTGTAAGTTCTTTTAGCAGGTTCATGGTCAGACCTGTAAGTTGGTTTGTTATTTGTTGCTACTGGACGAGCTTCTAGCTGGAAGTGATTCAGGATAGATGCTTGTATATTATTAATTAGGAGAGTAGTACCTTCACCTCTATTCAAATGCACCCCATCGCTGCTAAGGTGGCGATCCTCAATATTTGCCATACTAATATGATATCTGGTATCACTTGATTGTATCATCTACAGGCCCTCCATTATCTATGTTGTTACCTCCAATATTGAGAGTTAGACTTTTCATAGAGGATGGAAATTCATTCTCCAGGATGGCTTTCTTCATTGTATCTATTGTAGCACCTCTATATGACAGTATCATTTGGTTCTTCGCTAATCTGGCATTGTTGATATTGGATGTCTGTGAATCGCTCATAATCAAGTGTTCTACACCATTAGGAATTTTGCGTTTATAATTACGTTATACCACTGGATGATCTGGCACCTGTAAAGCTGGTTGTGTTGAGCTGTATTGGTGATTAACTAGTGGTGACGAACTGAGTGTCACACCATTGTTTTTTCTTCTCTTTGGAGTTACAGTGATCCACTCATGATTATCCTCTGTGAGTCCAATTGTTTTCACATCTTGGTCGATACTCTTGGATGCTATTAAGTTCTACTGAATTTTCCTGATATCAGACATCACAACTTCTTCTACATAGTCACGCAGTTTGTTTATGCTTTCATCAGTTATATTACATGACCTATGCTGATCAATTTCTTTTCTCAAGATAATGCCTTCTTTTGATTTCTTAGATAGTTCCTCTTGCAACTTTGCTACTTGGATAGTGTGAGTATTGTTTTCTACAATGAGGTTATTTATTTTCATTTGTACCTGTTCTTTGAGTGATTTTTCCTTCAGTTGGTATTTCAGATCAGCGATTTCTTGCTTTTGTTTTTT